TCATCAAAATCGGTTCAGTGAGAGCTGAGATTGAGCGTATAAAGACAAAAAAAAAAACACATCATAGTAAAATTAATACCTTCTCAGCTTCGCATCGAAGCTAATAATTTCTTTTAGGTTTTGTGTACTGTCTGGCTAAGAGCTTATAATAAAATAATAAAACAAAATTTATTTATATCATTTTGTATTTTATAAAGAGTATAGAATATGTTATATATTATATAATGATTAAAAAGTAAGAAAAAAGTAATTATTATTTTAATTTTTCCTTTTATATTTTTTGCATTGTCTAATAAATACATTAAGTTTAAAAATAAAACAAAAAAATTATCCATGTAATTTTATATATTATATTGTCTAAAATATTAATTCATAGTTCAGTNTTTTATATATTATATTGTCTAAAATATTAATTCATAGTTCAGTAATCTTATACGTAAAAAAGTCAAATATATTTAAATTACTGGGTTGAGGTTAAGAACAATAACATTTTGTACATTCTCTTCCACATAGACTAAAATTTTTACATCAACCTCATTTTTCAAAAATATCTTAATAATATATTGTATATCGAATTGTAAATTAAAAACCTTTATGTAAAATCATGCATGTCACAGGATGTAATTATCTGGTTGCATGCACCCTCATAAATAAGATTTAAAAATAAATACTATATTAAAATACAGTTATATAATTAAAATTAAAGTTATCTTTTTTGAACATCTCCTTACAAAAGAGCAATATTTAGAAAAAACAAGGAGTATAATTTAATCAATTGGGAATGTTGAGAAAAACCTGATATTTCATAATAATAATGTATAGAATACAATTTAAAGTAAATTCTGTAGTTTTCAATTAATAATGGATAAAATATTATGTATAAGTACATTGCCTCCTAATCGTAATAGCATATTATAAATAATTAAAAGTACTTTAGAGTATTAAAGTTATAATCTTCTTGTCTAATCCCTCCCAGTTTATCTACTTCATTGGTATGTTGAGTAAAATTTGCAGAAAGATATTGTACAATATCTAAAAATATAATGATTGTTAAATCATTTATGCATTGTTTTTAGCTTCGATGCGAAGCTGAGAAGGTATTAATTTTACTATGATGTGTTTTTTTTTTTTTTATGTCTGTTGCCACTTTTTTTCAGCTCTCACTGGACCGATTTCTTTCAATAATACGTCAAAAGATCACAAATCGTATCTNACTTTTTCTCAGCTCTCACTGGACCGATTTCTTTTAACAATACGTCAAAAGATCACAAATCGTATCTAGTTGAAGACATTACCCTTAAAAATTGAAAAATTTTCCCTCGTTCCCCGCAAATGTGGGAAATATCCAAAAAAATTACAAATTTAAAAATCGGTAAATTTTGTCATTTTTTTCACTTTTTTTTCTTAAAACTGCCATAACTTTGTAGGGATTAACAAAAATGTTAAATAACATGTCACAATGAATGCGTTTATATGTTTTTATCTTAGATGTACACTGCAGTACGATAACACTCCGTGTATTATTTTTAGTATCGCGCTGTCTGTCAATCCAGTAACACTTAATATTTGTACTTTTTTTTTATGTATATATTTATCATATATAATACATCATATTTCAATGTTAAAAAATTATTAATTATTATAAATTTTAATTGTAGTATTTTTGTTATAAATATAAACATCAAAACACTACAACTTTTTCAAATATTAACAAATCAAAATAATATTTTTTTATATTGAAACCTTAGGTAATTTCCTTTCGTTTGATATCATTTTTTTTTTTTGAAAATCTAACACTTATTCTGCTCACAAGGGGGATTTAAAATAGTAAATTTTTTACGAAAACTAACTTTTTCTACTTAATTTTTGAAAATGTTCCGGAAATACCGCGTCCTTTAAACATATATCAAATTAAAGCTTATTTTATGTACTACAAAATGAAAAAAAAAAATTTGTCCCAACGACCTATCTTCTATGCGCAAATGGCTACCGTACTCAAAAATATGTTATTTTTCTATTAAAATTCTAGGTTTTGTATTTTATTTTATTTTAAAATATCTTATTAGGAGAATATATTGACTTTCATGAATATTATATAATTTAATTGACATAGAATAAAGGTCATAAGACATAAGAAATTAAACTTATTAAATTTTTTTTACTTTTTTATTTTCATACTAAATTTAATAATTATAATTAGTATTTATTCATATATTATATTTTAAAATCAAAGAACTACTAATTAGGATATAATCAAAGAAATAAGAGTTGATGTTGCTTTTGCAATAATCTACCAATTTCTCTAAATGAAACACTATCTACAGATTTGCGTTTCGAAAATCGAAGCGTTTCTTATGATAGTGATTTTAATCACTGTCAAATATCATCTATACTTGTCATATCTATGCCTTGTTCGCATCGAAGCTAAAAGTAAATAATATATTGCAATATTTTTTTAAATTTTGTATTAAAGACTACTAGCAATATAATTATATTATCTTATTCGTTATATAATACTATATTATACAAAAATTAAGGCACTGAAGTATATTATAAAAAATAATTTAATCCTTCCAGTTAAATACTCTATTGTTATATTCTATCAAATTTATAGAAGAATATTGTTAGCTTAATTAGAAACTTATGTAAATTAAAAAATAGTTGTACATAGTGTATTAGGAAAACTTTACCATGCCATCGATTCACACATTTTTTATTGGTAGGTTCAACCAACTTGGTTTTATTACATTTGTAGAAAGATTTTGTGCATTATCTAAATACTAGACTTCGCAAGATGGGGCTTTGCCTCAAAGCAGGTACCTTGCAGGTCTTATGCGCCTACAGTTCGTTAGGCCCTTCGGGTTGTCCTTACAGGTAGGCCACTGATTTCGGTAACACTACGATATGTGTTGTATAAAAAAGTATAATTCCAAAAGCAGATTACCAAAAAATTATTTCCACTTGTAAATTAAATAATAATATGACTACAAAATACTTAGGTGTAGTCACAATTATACTTTATAATATTCTACTAATTATTATTCCAAACAACAGATAGACGAAAGAAAACTTAATAATTTTTAACCTTCATAAGACCGGCGTTTTAGTTTAAATTACATTACTTTTATTCAATATGTGAATCTAAGCACGTCCAACTTTGAAACATCATAAAAAAAACTGCCGGGGTAATTTTATACCCCGTCCGGTCTTAATGTCACAAATAGAGCCCAGTCTTATGAAGGTTAAGGAAAAAACAGAGCTGGGGTAGTTTTGTACCCCAACCGGTCTTATGAAGGTTATATACCATATTATTAGTAAAAAGTACATACACTAACATAAAATTTAAATGAAATTGTGATGCGCAAAGCAAAATCATATCATGTTTAAAAACTATGCGCTTGAACTTAAAAAAAAGCTCATAACTCGGTCAAAAATGAACAGATTTCAACAAAATGTTCAGGGTACATTGGAAATGTTTCTAGGCAGGTCTGTTAAACATTTCACGATTTAAATCGAAAAACACTGGCGGCAATGAGCGTTTTTGATAAACATTTTAAACGCTCATAGTGTGCAAACAAAAAAATGTATTACCTTCGCGAATAAGTTTAAAAGAGATCAACGTCGTTGATCTCTTTTATTAAAAAAAAAATTTGAAAATCGTATGTCATTAAGTAATTTTTCAAGAATTTGTTAATTTTTCAGCGTTTTATGATATAATTAAATGTTAATAACAAATACATTAATGTATTTCTTCCTAATTGGTATATCGTATGATAAATGAATAAAAAAATTTATTTAATCTAAAAATAAATTAATATTAAAAATACTGTGCACCAAAAATTTCAAATTTTACATTTATAAATTCTGTAGATTTCAATAAATAATGGATAAAATATTGTGTATAATAATTATGTATAGCATACAATTTAAAGTAAATTCTATAGTTTCGATAAATAATCGATAAAAAATTATGCATGAGTAAGTAGAAGTAAAACTATTAAATATTTACCTTCTTGTCTAATCCCTCCTAGTTTATCTACTGCATTGGAATATTGAGTAAAGTTAGCTAAAGAATATTGCATAGCAATTAAAAACTTATTTAAACTAATATTAAATATTCAGTAGTAGATAATAAAAACATTACTCTCTTGTAGCATCTCTTCCAAAACATCATTGTTATGCTGTGTCAAATTTATAGAAGGATTTTGTGTGATATCTAAAAATATAATAAAAATTTTAATTTATTTTAATTATAATTAAATATATATATAAAGCCTTACATTCTTGTTGAATATTTTCAGTTATATCTACTTCATTAGTATGTTGTGTCAAATTTATAGAAGGATTTTGTTCGATATCTAAATATTTTAATAATTAAATAATTTCAAATAAATTTTATAAGGTTTAAAAAGTTATACCTTGCTTGACATTGGTAGGAGGTAGAGCAGGTAAAAGGGTTTCATTTGTGGTTGAATCAAATTTAAATCCAAGTTCAACATACTTATTCCAGATTGTCATTAGAAATAAATTGTTTATTGTATCAGTTAAAAAAATGAAAAATTCTTCGTATTTTACTTGAGATTTTAATATGTCAAATTCGATATTCCAAAAATTCCACAAAGAATTATTTATTTGACAAAATTTCATATCTTCTTCAATGTCAATATACCTTGTGCGTAAATTATGCGCAATAGTCAATAACGCAGCTTTAATCGAATCCGTACTATTATTCAAAGGAACTAATTTCTTTAAAGATTCATTTTTCTGTAAATTAGTTAGAATTTCACTTAGTAGAAACCGGATTTTTTTTCGATGGCACAAGGGGTTATTGTGATATTTTTCTATAGTATATAAAGCTCCTTTCATCAATTTTGCTATCGGAACAATGTCAATCATTTTTTCTAAAAGTTTGAGTGTACAATCGTGTGCACTATCATACCCATCATTTAATAGCGTAAGACAATGTTCTTTAAATTTGAAAAATGTATAAAATATTGTATTTAAATCATTTGCATAAGAACATCCAAGAAATAATGTTGCAATACGTATACAATTGTCACAGTTCAGTGATGTTACAGGTTTTGTGATCACATCGTTCAATGTATACACATTGCGTCTATAAGTAATATATTCGACATCATTTATATTTCTCCATCCAGGTTGATGTAGAAAATTGGTTATTATATCGACGTTGCTTTTCATATTACGCGTTCCTTCAGTATGCAAAAAAGTGAAAAATATACAAAAGTACACTTGAATATTTAGTCTTATTGAAATTTTCATTTTTAAAAAGGTTAAGAATCTATTTTCATTTACTGAAAAGAAGAAATTGTCATACAAAGTTATTTCAATGAAATGGTGACATTAATACATTCTCTTATGTTCATACAAATAATAAATATAGCCAAATTATTCACAGTATACGTATTTTTAGATAGATAAAAAAAAATGAATTTATACGTAAGCAGAAAAAGCATAGATGCATTTTAAACATGTGTTTCAAATATAAAAAGGGGGTCGCGGCATAGTGGTGACGTGGCATAATTGGGTCAAGTATAGATGATATCTGACAATGATTAAAATCACTATCATGAAAAACGCTTCGATGCAAATCTGTAGATAGTGTTTAATTTTAAAAAAATGGTGGATTATTCCAAAAGTTACATGATCTCTTATTTCCTTATTTATATCTTGATTACAACTTTTATGCTTTATAACTGTAATATGTAAAGGGAAATGATGTTATTTAAAAAAAAAGTATGTCGAATGAAAGAGGGATATAAATGTTATTTTTTATAAATAATTTGTATTGATCCATATACTTTTCAATAAGTTATAGCATAATAAAGTTTAAAATATAAAATATAAAATCGAGAATTTTCATACAAAAATAGCATACGGTAACTATTTTCATCGTGAAGACAAAATAAAGTCTCAAATTGTTCTTCCATGATAAAGTATACTACATTAGCTTTAATCTAAGATATATATTAAAGTGTCAGACTTTCCGGAACACTTTCAAAATTTAAGTTGAAAAACTTAATTTTTTAAAAAAAAGTTGTCATTTTGAATCTTCCCCTGTGGGCAGGTAAAGGGTCAGATTTATAAAAAAAATAAATCAAATAATAGGTAAAGACATCACGAATCTATAAAAAAATAAATTATATTAATTTGGTCATTTTTAAAAAATGTATAGCAGTTTTAAGTAAAAAAAATTGAAAAAATTTCGAAAATTAGTGATTTTTAAATTTGTAATTTTTTTTGGAGGTTTCCCCCATTTACGGGGAACGAGGGAAATTTTTTCAATTTTTAAGGGTAATGTCTTCGACTAGATACGATTTGTGATCTTTTGACGTATCGTTGAAAGAAATTGATTCGGCGAGAGCTGAGAAAATATGATAACAGACACAAAAAAAAAACATCATAGTAAAACGTTAAAAAAAGATTAAGAGAAGGTTAAAAAAATTTTTACCTTCTCAGCTTAAAATTTTAAACTAAAAAATTCAAGATTTACATTAATCTTCTTGATAAAATGTCTAGGCTTTTTTTTAACAACCCTGAAAAGTAAAGTTCAGTACTATCTTACTACTTAAGTATTACACTTAACGTTAAAATATGTAGAACCTTAAATATAGAACTTATTATTGCACATAAAAAAGGTATTAACAAATTTTTTTATATATCAATTATACTTTGAGAAAAATATAAAACATGATAAATTTCATAAAAGGTTGACATAATACTTTTAAACAATTTTTTATAAAATAAGTATTTCTTAAATATCGTATGAATATTACGTAAAAATTATTTAAAAACTATTTAATTATTGACTAAAATTAAGTAAAAAAAGTTTATATTGTATACTAATTATATTAAAACTCGCCCAACACAATATCTTCTTAAGATCAGAATTTGACTTTTAATATGTTATTTTTGTATTTCTCTATCACTTTGTGGATATTTCTTATTAATCTTTAATTTTCTTATATTATGATTTATAGGCTTATAATTTTCTAACTTGTCTCTCGGAGGAGACGACGAGTGACTAGTGGACCAGGTCCCTCATAGGACTTGACAGCCTGGAGAGGTGGGTGGACCGGACACACTGTGAGATGACCCTATTGTCTTACACAAGTGCGATCACTGCCGGGAGTCTTTTTCTATAATTTCGTGGATATTTCTTTCGGTAATCTTGTATGATTTAAATATTTTAATAAAGTAATTTAGATCAAAATGAAAATTATTTCCATTATTTATCTGTAATAAATACCGTTTTTGTTCTTCGTAGCAACTAGTGAATTTGTAATAATAATCCTCCATTAACTTGACTCCACCTCTCAGCTATGTCATTTACTATTTAATGACTCTATTATTTCATTTTATTTTTTACAATCACCTGATATTTTCAGTAAGCTGAATCAACGCTTAAAAAAATTGTTGAAATTCTATAGCGCTTAAACATTCCAATTTATCAAATAAATTGGTAGGTTTTGAAGATAATTAGTAACGTCATCTAATGTAATCGATAATTTTATTTTTAGACCAGTTTCTTTCTCCTCATGACCTTTTTTATAAACATCTGTTCTTAAAATTTTTTCAGTCATTATGTGTTTTGTATATATGTTGAAAGATGAGAACGGTTCGCGGAACGTTATATCGGGTAAAGATAAAAAAACCCAAATTTCCACTAACGTTTATTATTGAAATAATTTTACGATACAAAAATAATCACTGATAGAAAACAAACACAACCTCGAAAATTTATCGGATTCCTGGTACCCTAGTTGGAATAAAATTAATAACAACTGTTTAATAGTGTTTCTTAATAAAAAGTATTTTTTAGTCTATTACAATTAGATTTATTATATAATATTATTAGTCATATTAAAAACATTAATACAATTAAAGTCTAATTTCACACAGATATGAAACATCAATTTGTAGATGAAATAAGTAATTCATAATGTCGATCCGACGATGCCTCTGAGCCGTATTTCTTGGGGTTATAAAAAAATATGTTTTAAATATGCCTTATTTTAGAATCCAAAAGACCAATGTAAATTTTATAATTTTTGGTACTTTACACAAACATTGCAACCCTACTTCTTCTTACAATCATATATAAATAAATTTTGTTTACATTTATACACCTGTATACACAGTTAACTATTTTTTTAGTTTTACTATTATAGTATGAAAATAAATTTTTTTATTAATATCATCATTACATTGAAATAAATTTTATATGACAATTTTTTTTTTAGTATAAGATAATAGTTGATAACTATTCGAAAATGAAAATCTCAATAATACTAAATATTCAAGTGTACTTTTGTATATTTTTCACTTTTTTGCATACTGAAGGAAAACGTAATATAAAAAGCAACGTCGATATAATAACCAATTTTCTACATCAACCTGGATGGAGAAATATAAATGATGTCGAATATATTACTTATAGACGCAATGTGTATACATTGAACGATGTGCTTAATAAACCTGTAACATTACAGAACTGTGACAATTTTATACGTAATGCAACAATATTCCTTGGATGTTCTTATGACAATGATTTACATACAATGTTCTTTATATTCTTCAACTTTCAAAAATATTGTTATATGTTACTTAGAACTGATAAAATTAGTGCACACATTTGTACAGTTAAACTTTTAGAAAAAATGATTGAATTTGCTCCGATAGCAAAATTGATGAAAGGAGCTTTATATACTATAGAAAAATATCACAATGACCCTTTGTACACCCTAAAAAGAACTCGTTTTATTTTAACTAAAGTTCTTACAAATTTACAGAAAAATGTATCTTTGAAGAAATTTATTCCTTTAGAAAACACTGAGGATTCGATTAAAACTGCGATATACACTGTCAAAGATATTTTACAAACTAATGATTTTGAACTCGAATATGATGTATCATTATGTAAAATAAAACAATTAGATTTGAGTGCTTTGTGGAGTTTTTGGGTTAACAAATTCGTCACATTAAACGATCAAGAAAAACATGAAGAATTTATCGTTTTTCTAAGTGATAAAATGAGCAATTTATTCTTAACGACAATCTGGAATAAGTATGTTGAACTTGGATTTAAATTTGATTCAACCACAAATGAAACCCTTTTACCTGCTCTACCTCCTACCAATGTCAAGCAAGGTATAACTTTTTAAACCTTATAAAATTTATTTGAAATTATTTAATTATTAAAATATTTAGATATCGAACAAAATCCTTCTATAAATTTGACACAACATACCAATGAAGTAGATATGACGGAATATTTTCAACAAGAATGTAAGGTTTTGTATATACATTTAATTATAATTAAAATGAGTGTAAAAATGATTAAAAAATTTATTTGTGTTTTGTGTTTCAATAAAATTTTAAATTTTAAAAATAACTTACGTAACTTAAAGTTACTTTAAAGTAACTTTGTTACTTAAAATAAATTTGGTTATAAATATTTAACTATTTAACAACCTTTTAATATTTTTAGATATCGTACAAAATACTCCTATTCAACATTATGGTAATGATTTCTTAATATATTAATGTACATCTACTTTATAATTTAAATAGATTTTAAATTGTATATTTCTTTTTAGTTTAAAGAAGTTTCTAATTAAACTGAAAACCACATTAATTTTTTTAGACATCGGACAATAATCTTTTATAAATTTGATACAAGATAACAAAAAAGTAGAAATCTGAAAGGAGTAGATTATTATTTGTAATATACTACAGTACCTTAATTGTTGCATAATATAATATAACAAATAGAACACAATATAATTATGCATAATATTTTAAAATTTTTTTTATTAAAGACTATTCTATGGCTCATAATTTATCTTTGATATTGAAGGAAATAGACATAAATATTATGTATCATACAGAATTAAAAATTTTAAACCATAACTTTATTATTTTAAATAAATTTGGTTAAATTTACTTGAAATAACTAAATAAGATCAAAATACTACAGTTGAACAATTGTTCGTAAAAATTAGTTTTAAGCTTTATTCACTAGTTGTATGCGCTGTATATATACCTCCAAATTCTTATTTGCATGTTTATAATTTGCATATTGTCTCTATTGATGCTGTTTTGTGCGATCATTATAGTTCTAAATTTTTAGCACTAGGTGATTTTAATCTTTCCGGAATTAATTGGAAACTTGTTGATAATAAAATCAAGCCGCATTTATTTAATATTAGCACAAAAGTAGGTTCTCTACTCGATCTCGTATTTTCTAATGTACATACTATTAATGTTTCATCTGCTATTTACTCACTTGTACCTCTAAATTATAACTACCATCCAGCCTTAGATATAAGTTTCCCTGTTGTATCAATCGAATACATTGATTATAAAGAACAAATTTACGATTTTAGGAACTGCGGCTATAATTATATTAGAACACGTATAGCTACAGTCAATTGGAATGGCACTTTTAATCATTTATGTATAAAAAATGCAGTTGATAGTTTTTACTCAATTATCTACGAAATTATAGACTCTACTTGCCCAAAAATATTTAAATTTTCTTCTAATTATCCGTTATGGTTTAGTTCTGCATTAAAAAATTTAATATTCTCAAAAAAGATAGCTCATAAAACATTTAAGCAGTTCCCTAACAGTTATAATTACAATATATTTTCTAATTTACGTGCACAATGTAAAATTCAAAATAAAATTGATTACGCTAGCTACATTCAAAAAGCACAAAACTCAGTATCAAATAATCCAAAATATTTCTGGAAGTTTGTCAACAATAAACGGTCTAATGCATCCCTTCCAGCCGTCATGTTTTATAATAATAATAAATTCTCAGGTGGTGATGAAATTTCAATTTGCTTTTCCAAATACTTTTCTAGTGTCTTCAACTCACCCACTACTACATCTAATAATTTAATTACTAACGATTTTTCCTTACTTAACTTTAATTCGTGCACTTTATCTCTAACAGATATTCTGTACGAAATAGACCATCTTAGTAATAATACGAGTTCTGGTCCAGATAATATTTCCAATTTATTTTTTAAAGAATGTAAATTCGTTCTTGTAGTTCCACTATTATATTTATTTAATTTGTCACTTAAATCTGGAATTTTTCCTATTCGCTGGAAATTGAGTTATGTTACCCCGGTCTTTAAAGGAAGTGATAATTGTTTAAAAACAAATTACCGTACGATATCCATTATGTCCATCATTCCAAAAATGTTTGAAAATATTATTGTTAAAAAATGATCTCCCTTATTCAAAAATATAATTATTGATGAACAACATGGCTTTTTTTCCGGTAGATCTACTACTACCAATTTATTATTATTCCAAAATTACGTACTAGATGCATTTAGTAAGAACTACCAAGTTGATGTAATCTATACTGATTTCTCTAAGGCATTTGACAAAATAGACCACAACATTCTCGCAGCCAAATTGCACAACCTAGGCTTTCGTAATCCTTTTTATTCTTGGTTAGTCTCTTTTATTACTGATAGAAAACAATATACAAAAGTAAAAAATTTTGAATCACCACTATACGATGCCAGTTCTGGGATTCCATAAGGTTGTCATCTAGCTCCTCTTTTATTTAATATATTTATAAATGACATAAAAATTACAAATTCCTGCTTGCTTCTTTTTGCAGACGATTTAAAAATATTCCGAATAATTAAAACTCCTAATGATACAAAATTACTCCAGTATGACCTTAACCTACTCAATAATTGGTGTGTTCTTAATAAATTATACTTTAATACCGATAAATGTAAAGTTATGACATACTCAAGGAAACGTGTAACTCATACTTATAAGTATTACTTAAATGATACTGAATTAACTAGAGTTTTTAATATCAAAGATCTTGGTGTTTGTTTTGACCCTTCCCTATCGTCCAATGATCATTATGCATACATCATTAACAAATCATCTTCTATGTTAGGTTTTGTAGGTAGAACTTGTTCTGATTTCAATAATCCTATTGCTATAAAATCTCTCTATTGTTCATTTGTTCGTTCTATACTGGACTATAACTCTGTTGTTTGGTCTCCCTACATGTCCGGTTCCAATGATGATATTGAAGCGATTCAAAATCGCTTCCTAAGGTTTGTTGCATTTAAATGCGGTATCCATCGCCAACGACACACATCTTATTTACCATTACTAACACTAACCAATTTAGAAACTTTACAATCAAGGAGAATCAGATTCGATCTTTGTTTCACTTTTAAGTTATTAAATGGGATCATAAATTGTCCTGAGCTACTGATTAAATTTAATTTTCTAGTACCCACTTTTCGTACCAAGAACTTATATACATTCTACGCGCCATTCCATCGTACTAACTATACTAAAAATTCCCCCATTCCTACNACCCACTTTTCGTACCAAGAACTTATATACATTCTACGCGCCATTCCATCGTACTAACTATGCTAAAAATTCCCCCATTCCTACGTTAATGTGCCATGTAAACAAATTTAACGTCGATTTGTTTATTTGTAATAATATATTCACTTTTAATGTATATCTTAAAAACAAAGTAATTATTAGTTAATAATTATTGTACGTATTGTAATTTTATTCTGTTCTACCAATTTATATTTTACTTCATTGTATTGTAATGTATATTATTGTAATTTAAGTCAGACAGCACATGTAAACTTTACTCTGCAAACTGATGGTCGTCTTCCTTGTATATATTATAGCCCGTTTAAATTTTTCAATAAATAAATAAATAAAATACATTTGAAATTATTTTTTTGTTATAATATTTAAATATTGCAAAATATTCTTCTATATATGTAATACAGCATACCATTACTTTACTGATATATTGTTAGTATATTCAAGAAATATAAAATATATTTAAATTAATGTGTTGTTAACATATTTAGATATCACACAATATCCTTCGTTTAACTTAATACAAAATATCAATAAAATAGATATGCAAGAAGTAATTCAACAACATGGTAAAGTTTTCCTAATACACTACTATACATATATTTTTCAGTTAAAATAGTTTTAAATTGAGCTAATAACCATTTTAATATGTTAAGAGTTCACACAATATCCATTTATAAATCTGATACAACATACCACAGAAGTAGATAAACAGGAAGGGATTAGACAAGAAAGTAATTATTTTATAATTATTACTATAATTTTATAATAGAGTACTTTTTTATGTGTATAATATGTCATTGCGATTAGTAAGCAATATTTCCCATAATATAATGCTTACCCATAATATTTTATTCTTAATTTTTGGAAAACTACAAAATTTACTCATGGATGTAATATTACATAAATCTTATATATTAGATCTTATAAGGGTACAATCAAATAATTACATTCTGTGACAATTTATTATTACTCCGATTTGCACTATTTTACATACATGTATATGTATATGTATTGATTCACAATTCCATATAAAAATATATTATTAAGTATCTTTAAAAATTGCGTTGATGTAGAAATTTATGGAAGAAAATTGTACATTTTATCTTGCAATATCTAAATCAGCTTTAACTTTTACATTAACATCTTGTATAAAAGTTAATAGTTCAGAATAACTTATTCGATATTTACGTATTGTGATTAATGAGAATTAATAGTTTAGCAATTAAAAAGTACATGGATAATTTTTTAAATATATTTTTAAACTTATAATGGGAAGTCACGGTGATGGGGTCACTGATTTTCATAAAATGTATATAGATCTAATCTATATTGAACACAGAATCAGACGTATTTGGAATTTTTTGGCAATGCCCCTAAGTCAAAAAAATTGACTTTGAACATTTTTAATTAGCTTAAATGGGGTCATATGACTTTTTGACATATAAGAAACATACATTTTTTTGAAAATTACAATAGATTAAATTAAAATATATAATGATTTTATATATATTTAATTCCTCATTATCATCTTATTATAAATATACTCTTACCTGGTTAATAGTAAAATATTTATATTTTAATTATATTTATGTGTATAAAATATTGTTTTACTTCAATCATATTTTTACCATTGGACAATCGATAATTTGTACCATCAAAATGTGCTTTGAATGCAAATAAAACTATATTGATACATAAAATGTAAAAAAAAAAATTAACAAATATTACATAAAATTAATAATTCAAAGAAAAAACAGTGAAAAAAAAGAAAAAAAAATTTTATTAGTTGGAGAGTTTCGAATCCGAATCTGTACGTGTTATAGGGTCATGTATTGTCGACTGAATCATAACACAAGTTGTTAACTGGATGAAAAATGACCTCATTTAAGCTAATTAAAAATTTTCAAAGTCAATTTTCTCGACTTAGGGAGAGCATTGGCAAAAAATTCCAAATACGTCTGATTCTGTATTCAATATAGATTAGATCTATATAAATTTTATGAAAATCGGTGACCCCATCACCGTGACCTCCACTTGTTAGTCTATTTGCTGGTTAGTAAACAAAATGTAAAAGAAAAAAAGTTTTAAAAATTACATATTCTTATGAGCAATATAAAATTTAGTTGAAATAATTTTTTTTTATAATACTTAGATATTGCAAAAAATCCTTCTTTAAACTTAATACAACATAACAATGAAGTAGTAATGCAAGAAACGATTCAGCAACATGGTAAAGTTTTCCTATTACACTATTGTACATCTATTTTTTATTTAAATAAGTTTTAAATTGAGCTAATTACCATTTTAATATGTTTATATTTTACACAAAATCCTTTTATAAATTTGATACAAAATACCACAGAAGTAGATAAACAGGAAAGGATTAGACAAGAAGGTAATTATTTTATAATTATTACTATACATTTATAATAAAGTACTTTTTTTATATATATAATACTATATATACTATTATATATTTATATATAATACTTATCCATAATATATTACATTTTTGTAGAACTAAAAAATTTACTCATGGCGACATGTACAAATGCCAAATTATTTTTAAATTGTATAATAGTGAATATTTATATAACATATTTGCATTTTTTTAAAGTTTATATTAAAAAAGACAATTATATTACTTCAAATGTGTATAAATCTTATATATCAGATCTTATAAAGGTACAATCAAATAATTACATCCTGCGATAATTTACTATTATGCAGACTTGTACTATTTTACAGACATGTTATTGATACACTATTCGATTTAAAAATATATAATTAGAATCTTTAAAAATGGTTTTTATGTAGGCATTTTAGATAAGGTAGAAGAGAATCTAAATCAGCTTTAACTTTAAAATAAACATCTTGTATAAAAGTTAATTGTTTTAACTTTCGGCACAACACATTCGTTATTTACGTATTGCAATTAATAAACTGTGAATTAATAGTTTTGCTATTACAAAGTATATAGATAAATTTTTTTGTTTTATTTTTAAACTTAATCAATTAGCTGGTTAGTACACAAAACATAAAAGAAAAAAGTTTTAAAAATTACATATTCTTTACAAAATACTAAAAAATATAAATAAATTTTATTTTATTCTTTAATCTTAGCCTTTAGCTGGACAGTATACAAGACATAAAAGAAACATAATATTTACAATATTATTTTATTATGTGTGTATAACAGATTAATAAGGTTGAGTTTTTAAAAAATTAATAATAGATCAAGTTCATTTCTTTCTTTGAGGACTTATTTTCACATGAAAGTAATTTTATTTTGTTTAAGTATATACTTTCATAATTTCAGAATAATGTATAATACTATTATTGTAATAAAAAAGCCATTGGTCGTATTAAACCATCATTCCTTATTTTAATTGCCATGACGGTTATAAAATAATGTGCTATTATTTTATTCAATCATAATGGAGTACAATTTCGTAACTCTCTTTAATAATTTATTTTTGTACAAAATTAGATGTCATATGTGAAACGGAACCTGAATCGGGCGAACTAATTGAATATCCTGATCATTTGATACCATTTAATAAGTACATATAAGTTAATTTTCTTGTGTTAAATATGTATTATAATTACATTACTATACAGAATAAATGTGTTAATTTAATTTACATGCTTGATTTAAATATTTATTAAGAAAACAAAATTAATTATTATGAGCAATATGTTTATAAATTTTATTTTATTCTTTAATCTTAGCCTTTAGCTGGACAGTATGCAAGACATAAAAGAAACATAATATTTACAATATTATTTTATTATGTGTGTATAACAGATTAATAAGGTTGGGTTTTTAAAAAATTAATAATAGGTCAAGTTCATTTCTTTCTTTGAGGACTTATTTTCACATGAAAGTAATTTTTATTTTGTTTAAGTATATACTTTCATAATTTCAGAATAATGTATAATACTATTATTGTAATAAAAAACCCAGCACAAGGAGATCAAGTATAAAGTTATCTGACGTGATTATAATCACTATAAAAAAAAAACCGCTTCGTTGCAAATTTATAGATAGTGTTTAATTTAAAAAAAAACCCAGCACAGTGGGGTCGCGGCATAGTGGGGATGTTGCATAGTTGGGTCCAGTATAGATTTAATCTGACAGTGATTAAAATCACTATCATAAGAAACGCTTCGATGCAAATCAGTAGATAGTGTTTAATTCTAAGAAATTGGTGGATAATTACAAAAGCTACATTATCTGCTAGTTTCTTATTAATACCCTGATTAAGATAAAGTATGTCAAATGAAAAAGGGATTATTAAAAAATATTATTTCTCATAAAAAAATTGTGTTGATTCATACACTTTTAAATGAGTTATAGTATTATAAAGTTAAAAATGTGACCAACCCAACCCAACATCAACTCCTATTTCCTTAATTATATCCAGATTAGTAATTCATTCAATTATATATTATATAATTTTTAAAATTAATTATTTTCAAATTATTATCGATTTTTAATATGTTAAAAGTAATCATTTTGAACCTACTTCTTTTTGTCCTTAAAAGTGAAATTTTGTATAAAAAAAAAAATGAATTTATTACCATAACTTTTAACTCAACTTGCAAGTTTGAAATAGATATTATTAAATAGAAAAAAATTAAATCGGTCCCCTAAAATGAGGGAAATATCCAAAAAAATTACAAATTTAAAAATCGGTAAATTTTGTCATTTTTTTCACTTTTTTTTTTAAAAACTGCCATAACTTTTTCAAATATTAACAAATCAAAATAATATTTTTTGAAACCTTAAATAATTTCCTTACATTTGATATCATTTATGTTGAAAATCTAACACTTAACCTGCTCATGGGAGGGGATTTAAAATAGCAACTTTTTTACAAAAACTAACTTTTTCATCTTAATTTTTGAAAATTTCCCGGAAATACTGCGTCCTTAAACATATATCAAATTAAAGCTTATTTTATGTACTATAAAATGAAAAAAAAAAATTTGTCCCGACACTTTATCTTCTAGATTTAAACTGCTGCCGTAGTTGAAAAATCACTATTTTTTGTTAAAATTTTCGATTTTAAATTTTCAACTTAAAAATGCTATACCTTTTTGAAAAATGTATATATCAGCAAAAAATTTATTAATACATTATAAGTACATCTTTCCTTTGACATACTTTTTATTAAAATTGGACAATTTTCCATTATATAGGGGGCGTTCAAAACTTGAAATATTGTAAAAACCATAGATCTTTTTCAACTGAACTTTTGAAAATGTTTCGGGAATACTGCGTCCTTTAAACATATATCAAATCAAAGGTTATGTTATATACTATCAAATGAAAAAAAAAATTTGTCCCGACATCTTATCTTCTATGTGCAAATGGCTGTCGAAAATTAAAAAAAAATGTAATGTTTGCGATAAAAATCATCTTTTATCGGGATATTTTTCGTACTTAAAACTTTCATAACTTTTTCAAAAATAAACAAATCAACATAATTTTTTTTTATACTAAAACCTTAGATATTTCCCTTTCATTTGATATCATTTTTTTGAAAATCTAACACTTAACCTACTCATTTGGTGGGATTTAAAATAGCAACTTTTTTTACAAAAACTAACTTTTTCATCTTAATTTTTGAAAATTTCCCGGAAATACTGCGTCCTTAAACATATATCAAATTAAAGCTTATTTTATGTACTATAAAATGAAAAAAAAAAATTTGTCCCGACACTTTATCTTCTACATGTAAACGGTTGCCGTAGTTAAAAAAACACTATTTTTGTGTTAAAATTTTCGATTTTCGATTTTTAATTTTCAACTTAAAAATGCTATAACTTTTCGAAAAATGTATGTATCAGCACAATTTTTTTTTTTCTAAATACATTATAAGTACATCTTCCATTTGACATACTTTTTATTAAAATTAGACAATTTCCCCTTATATAGGGGGGGTTCAAACTTTGAAACATTGTATAAAAAATAGAACTTTTTCAACTGAACTTTTGAAAATGTTCCGGAAATACTGCGTCCTTTAAACATATATCAAATTAAAGCTTATTTTATGTACTATAAAATGAAAAAAAAAAATTTGTCCCGACGACCTATATTCTATGCGCAAATGGCTACCGTATTCAAAAATATGCTATTTTTTATTAAAATTCTGGGTTTTATATTTTATTTTATTTTAAAATATCTTATTAGGGGAATACACTGACTTTCATGAATATTATATAATTTAATTGACATAGCATAAAGTTCATAAGACATATGAAATTAAACTTATTAAAATATTTTTACTTTTTTAAAGTCAAAAAAGTAATTTTTAAATTTGAGTTAGCTTAAATAGCCAATTTTATCACACAACAAAAGCAACGAACAATTGCCGAATGGGTAACACCTATATCTTTCACGCTTAGGGTACGAGGTTCAAATCCGTCTGTGGCTATTAATATTTTGCATTTTTTTTTGAGTTAGAATAGAATTGTCAAATCATTTGATATTTATTTCATTTAGATTCAATAATTTCAATAAATATAAAGGATCTTATCACTATAGTCTCCCCTCGTGAGAAGAAATTTATATTCATGTTAATATTATTTTACTATGTGGTTCTTTTTGTGGCTACGATTTATTTTGCCAACCCTCACTAGACCTACTTTTTTCAACGATACGTCAAATGATTCATTTAAGTTTATGATATTTAAGTTAATGATTAGTTTAAGTTATTACTCTTAAAAATCAAAAAAATATTCCTTATTCAAATAAAAAGTAGCTTAACCAGCTTTTTCCATACAAACAATTAAAATCATTAATTTTTAATATTCTTAAAGTATTTATTGTCGAATTAGATTTGATATGATAAAAGTATTCAACAACAAAAGTAAATAATTTTACTTAATAATTTATTAATTTTTTAACTCTATTTGTGTGTGCTACTACCAGTCTATAATATGCCAAATTTTTTTGTAATATGTTGCTATATAAATCATAAATTTAAAAAAAAAAATGATTTTTGGTTTCACCTGAATTTAACGATGGATTTTTACAATTATAATTATATTTTATAATACGCTCAATTGAGTAAATCTTTTTAACTACTTTGTTTTGATTGGTTCATTTAGTTAATGTAAATTATTAAAATTAATTAAGTTCTGAATATTTTCATAGTAGAATCTTTTTAAACACCAAAAGTTATTAGGAAATGATTACTATTCTAGATACGAATTGTAGTC